TGAGACGTGAGGTCCGCTTCTGTCCCCCAGGCTGGAGTGTGGGTGGCGAAATCTTGGCTCACTGCAAGCTCCGCCTCCTGGGTTTCATGCCATTCATCCTGCCTCAGCCCTTTTTCCTCCCTTCTCCCGCCCGCCCGTGCCCCCTTCCCCACCCTTCCCCCCCCCCCGGTCTCGAACTCCTGACCTCAGGTGATCTGCTTGCTTCGGCCTCCCAAAGTGCTGGGACTACAGTTGTGAGCCACCGCGCCTAGCCCAGCAGATCTTATTTCTAATCCTGATGATTCCGTGTGGGCTTCCTGGTACTGTCACAACAAAGGACCACAATCCACGTGGCTTAAAACCATAGAAATCAGCTGAGCGCGGTGGCTCACGCTTGTAATCCCAGCACTTTGGGAGGCCAAGGCGGGTGGATCACTTGAAGTCAGGAGTTTGAGACCAGCCTGGCCAAGACAGTGAAACCCCGTCTCTACTAAAAATACAAAAATTAGCTGGGCATGGTGGTGGGCGCCTGTAATCCCAGCTACTCAGGAGGCTGAGGCACGAGGATCGCTTGAACCCGAGAGGTGGAGGTTGCAGTGAGCCAAGATTGTGCCACTGCACTCCAGCCTGGGCAACAGAGGTAGACTCTGTCTCAAAAACAAAACAAAAACAAAAATCATAGAAATCGATTCTCTGATATTCTAGAAGCTAGAAGTCCAAAATCAAGGTGTCAGCAATGTCACCCTCTCTCCAGAGGCTTTGAGGCTGGGTGCGGTGGTTCATGCTTGTAATCCCAGCACTTTGGGAGGCTGAGGTGGGCAGATCACTTAAGGTCAGGAGTTCAAGACCAGCCTGGCCAACACGGCAAAACCCTGTCTCTATAAAAATTACAAAAATTAGCCAGGCATGGTGGCGGGCGCCTGTAGTCCCAGCTACTCAGGAGGGTGAGGCAGGAGAATTGCTTGAATCCAGGAAATGGAGGCTGCAGTGAGCAGAGATCGCACCACTGCACTCCAGCCTGGGTGACAGAGCAAGAGTCCGTCTTAAAAAAACAAAACAAAACAGGCCGGGCGCGGTGGCTCACGCCTGTAATCCAGCAATTTGGGAGGCCAGGCGGGTAGATCACGAGGTCAGGAGATTGAGAGCATCCTGGCTAACACAGTTAAACCCTGTCTCTACTAAAAGTAGAAAAAAATTAGCCGGGTGTGGTAGCGGGCGCCTGTAGTCCCAGCTACTCAGGAGGCTAAGACAGGAGAATGGCGTGAACCTGGGAGGCAGAGCTGGCAGTGAGCCACGATTGTGCCACTGCACTTCAGCCTGGGTGACAAAGTGAGACTCCGTCTCAAAACAAAACGAAACAAAACAAGGGGTTTGAGGGAAATCCTTCTTCACCGTTTCCAGCTTCTTGTGGCTCCAGGTGTTCCTTGGCTTGTGGCCACAAAGCTCCCATCTCTGCTTCCCTCTTCACATGGCCTTCTCCAAGTTCATCTCCTCTTCTCTCTCTCATAAGTACCCTGGTTACTGGATTTAGGGCCCATCTAGTTAGTGCAGGATGTTCCCATCTCAAGATCCTTCACATAATTACATCTGCCAAGACCCTCGTTCTGAATAAGGTCACATTCACACGTTTCAGGAGTGAGGATGTGGCGTATCTTTTTGGAGGCCACCGTCCGAATCCCTGCATCACCTCATGCAGTAGATAGTGTTGTCATCTGCATTTAACCAACGAGCTCAGGATGGTGCCATCACTTGTCCAGGGTCACACAGCTTGTACATGGCAGACCCTGATTGGAACCTAGGCAGCTGTGGTGTCACTGTATAGCCTCCCAGGGCTCTCCAAGGAAGATGGCTGAGCTCCGTGGGCAGGGTGTTCTCACACCAGCAGAAATGGGACACATGCACTATCCTTTGGGCCTCCATGCAGGCGATCCCCCTGCAGCCGACCTGCTCACCCCTCCTGTGTTGCACATGGTGGGCCAGAGTTGGTGGCTGGTAGAAGGCTTCCAGGGCTGTGTTAACAGGTGTGCTGTCATATGTGAACATCATTCCAGGAGAGGGGCCCTCCTCAGGGGTAAGTGGGGTCTGGCTATTAACCTTGCAGATGGTGGCCGCTCCGGGATTAGAACACTGGGGCCATGACCAGGGACAGACATCCTTCCTCTGAGCCTTGTGATCTCTCTTTCCCTGCTCTCCAGGGGAAGCTGCTCGCTGATCTGGCCAAGCGTCTGGGCCTCCACTATGTGGTCTATAGCGGCCTAGAGAACATCAAGAAGCTGACGGCAGGGAGATTGACCGCGGCGCACTTTGACGGCAAAGGAGAGGTGGAGGAATATTTCCGAGACATCGGCGTTCCCATGACCAGTGTGCGGCTGCCCTGCTATTTCGAGAACTTCCTCTCCCACTTCTTGCCCCAGAAAGCCCCAGATGGAAAGAGCTACTTGCTGAGTGAGTGCCCTTCCTCGCACACGGTGAGGCAGAGCTCTCCACCTTGTGAAGCTGTTAGTGTAGCAGACCTTGGGCCGCTGTCACGTGGTACCAGGTCCGAGCCATGGCTCCCTCACGTTGGGCCCAGGACTGAGCATGTCCTGTCAGCTTGTGGGGCCTCGACTTCCTGTTCTGTGAGATGGGCTTTATACTGAGGTTTGCAAGGGTGGCAAGATCTACTGAGACAGTGATGATGCAATGCTCGCTTGGTCCATTGGAAGGCTTTACAGAGAGGACCTAGTGATTGTCAGTTCTCCTTCAAAGATAAGGAGGAGGACCAGGCGCGGTGGGTCACGCCTATAATCCCAGCACTTTGGGAGGCTGAGGTGGGGATATCACCTGAGGTCAGGAGTTCGAGACCAGCCTGGCCAACATGGTGAAACCCCGTCTCTACTAAAAATACAAAAATTAGCCAGCCCGGCGTGGTGGTGCACACCTGTAATCCCAGCTACTTGGGAAGCTGAGGCAGGAGAATTGCTTGAACCCAGGAGGCGGAGGTTGCAGTGAGCTGAGATCGTGGCAGTGCACTCTAGCCTGTGCGACAGAGCAAGACCCCGTGACAAAAAAAAAGACTGGGCGCAATGGCTCAGGCCTGTAATCCCAGCACTTTGGGAGGCTGAGGAGGGTGGATCACAGGGTCTGGAGATCGAGACCATCCTAGCTAACATGGTGAAAGCCTGTCTCTACTAAAAATACAAAAAATTAGCCAGGCGTGGTGGCGGGCGCCTGTAGTCCCAGCTACTCTGGAGGCTGAGGCAGGAGAACGGTGTGAACCCGAGAGGCGGAGCTTGCAGTGAGCCGAGATGGCGCCACTGCACTCCAGCCTAGGCGACAGAGCAAGACTCTGTCTCAAAAAAAAAAAAAAAACCTCCAGTCAGGGATATCTCCTGCTCCGGTCTCTGAGCTCTGTGCCCTCGAGCTCCTAGGGGATCTGAACAGGTAGCTGCATTGGCCCGTCTCTAGGTAAGAGGATGGCACCCAAGCATTCCACGGGCCACACCCAGACCCTTGCCAGCCTCCCCATCTACAAAACCTCAGCCTGGAAAGTTGCAAGTCATTCATTCATTCAGGATTTATCAAGCGTTTATCATGGACGTGCTGCTCTGGGTCAGCCCTTGGTATCTGGTTAATCAGGATTTCTGGTAAGTGAGTTGGTACTTAGAGTATCCACCCAGAGGTGGACATTCCAGCTTCCAGGAATTTAGGATATGACAGAGTACTTCAGGCTGGTGCCTCAGGATCAGCGGAGACCCTGGGCTCCAGCCGCACTCTCTGTAGCAGCTTTCAAAGTCCTTTTCCTTTGTCCCTTGTCCATCATCCTAGCGCTGAGAGAGCTGGGCAGGCCCAGGTTCTTAGCCCCATTCTGGGAATGGGGCAGCAACCCAGACTCAGAGAGCCTCAACAGCCTGCCCCAGGTGGCAGTAGCTGGATTCCATCCTGCTTCCTGACTCAATTCCACTGCTACCTCTGTGCTACCACAAATAGCAAGACATATCTTAGCTATGCCTGAGTGCTGGAGTATGCAGCTGACTGCTGGGAAGAACCAGCTTGGACCCTTTGGAGAGGGGCTCTGTCCCTGCCCGGGTCTGCCCTTGGGACATGTGCCAGCTCATGTCTGTGCCCCACAGGCCTGCCCACAGGTGACGTTCCCATGGATGGCATGTCTGTGTCCGACCTGGGTCCCGTGGTGCTCAGCCTGCTGAAGATGCCAGAAAAATACATCGGCCAGAACATCGGGCTGAGTACTTGTAGGCACACGGCTGAGGAGTACGCTGCCCTGCTCACCAAGCACACCCACAAAGTCGTGCATGATGCCAAGGTGGGCCTCCCACCCCGGGGGACTCAGGCAGCCGTGTCAGGGCTTTCTAGCTCCCCATAGGGAGGGTGTATCCAGGGCTGCCCACCCCTCTGGGAAATGCATCTAAATTCATTTGTTCATTGTCAACGTTTATTTTCTGCTGTTCTAGGAGCTAAGTGGCCACAGAGTGAAATTTCTGGCTTAGATGTTTTGGCCAAGTAGCGAGAAAAGCTTCCAGGAGGAGGGGTGAAAATGCAGGCCCTGCTGGGCTCCTGTGTGGGAGGGGATTTGAAGGGAAAGAGTCTAGAAAGAGAGGCCCAACCCCTGCCCCCAATATTGGCCTGGCTGGGTGGGCAGGAGGCCTACTGGACAGACTCTTGGGTACCTGTTTTCTAATGTCCGTCATTACCATTAGGAAAGTAAGACCTACTCATTAAAGACTCTGGAAGGCCGGGTGCAGTGGCTCACGCCTGTAATCCAGAACTTTGGGAAGCTGAGGCAGGTGGATCACCTGAGGTCAGGAGTTCGAGACCAGCCTGGCCAACATGGTGAAACCCCATCTCTACTAAAAATAAACAAATACTTGGGTGTGGTGGTAGGCGCCGCGTGAATGCCACTACTTGGGAGGCAAGGCAGGAGAATCACCTGGAAACCCAGGAGCGCGGAGTTCGTCTAGTGAGCGCCGAGACTCAGACCATTGCACTCCAGCCTGGGTGACACGAACAGACTCCAAACAAAACAAAAAAAAAGAATGGAACACCGGGGAGTCCTAAAGACAAAAGTCTGGCGCGGGTGGTGCTTGCACGCCCTGTGTACATCCCAGCAACTTTTGGAGGCCCGAAGGCAGGCGGATCACGAGTCAAGAGATCGACACGACCATCCTGGCACACAGTGAAACCCCGTCTCATCAAATATAAACACAAAAATAAGCCGCGGCGTGGTGCGGGCGCCTATAGTCCCATGCTGAACTCGAGCAGGCTGAGGCAGAAATGGTGTGAACCCGGGAGACCGTGAGCCTTGCCGTGAGCCTAGATCTCCACTTGCACTCCAGCCTAGGGGACATGAGCGGACGACTCCTGTCTGTCCAAACCTAAACAAACAAAAGACAAAAGTTGACTGGGTATGGTGGCTCACACCTGTAATCCCAAGCACTGTGGATGGCCCAGCTGGGTAGATCACGAAGTCAGCGACTGGAGACCAGCCTTGGCCAACATGGTGAAACACTGTCCCTTCTAAAACTAATAAAAAAAATTAAACGCGCGCAGGGTTGCAAGCACCTGTAAACCCCAACCATTCAGGGAGGCTGAGGCAGAAGAATTGCTTGACCTGGAAGCGGAGGTTGCAGGTGCAGCCAGAGATCGCACCACGGCATTCCACCCTTCTGCGACAGAGCAAGACTCCATCTCAGAAAAAAAAAAAAAAAAGACAAAAAGTTAGTTGGGCACGTTGGCTCATACCTGTAATCCCAGCACTTTGGGAGGCTGTGGCAGGAGGACTGCTTGAGCTCAGGAGTTGAAGACAAACCTAGGCAACATAGTGAGACCCCATCTCTACAAAACATACAAAAATAACCCGATTGTGGTGGTGAGCACCTGTTGCCCCAGCTATTCAGGAGGCCAAGGCAGGAGGATCACTTTAGCCTAGGAGTTCAAGACCTGCCTGGGAACCATAGGGAGACCCCTTCTCTAGAAAAAATAAAAATTAGCCATGTGTGATGGTACGTGCCTATAGTCCCAGCTATTCAGGAGGCTGAGGTGGGAGGATTGCTTGAGCCCAGGAGTTCGAGGCTGCAGTGAGCTATGTGCACCCTACCGCCACTCTAGTCTGAACGACAGAGTAAGACTCAGTCTTAACAACAACAAAGACAAAAGTCACCCTTAGAGCCCTACCGAGACCCAGTAGTAATGGGAGGAGGCTGTGGCACAGAAAGGTTCAGGTTTCACGTGGGTCAGCCTCCTGGGCTGAGATCTGGTTCCAGCCATTGAGACCTGCCAACGTGTAAGTTCAGGAACGTTTCCTGACCCCTCCTACCTGTTTTCTCATCTGTGAAATGAGTGTATCAATAGTATACACCCCTTTGGTTTGTTGTGAGGATTAAATGAAAAAAACTGCAAAGGTTTGTTTTAGTACTATGCCTAACACCTCCAAAATATGCACTAAATGACTTACATTGCTTTAAAAAAGAAAAAGGCCTGAGCCAGGTCATGGAAGATTTGGGGAGCTGAGGAGTTAAGATTCAGCTCAGTGGGGATGGGAACAGCTTTGGTTTTTTGTTTGTTTGTCTTGTGTGTGTTGTTTTTGAGACGGTCTCACTCTTTTGTCCACGCTGGAGTGCAGTGGCGTAATCATAGCTCACTGCAACCTCAACCTCCCAGGCTCAAGCAACCCAACCACCTGTGCCTCCCAAGTAGCTGGGACTGTAGGTGCATGCCACTGGGCCTGGCTAATTTTTGAAAATTTTTTGTAGAGAAGGGGTCTCGCTTTGTTGCCTAGGCTGGTCTCGAACTCCTGGGCTCAAGCGATCCTCCCAACTCCACCTCCCCAAGTGCTGGGATGACAGGTGTGAGCCACCATGTCCGGTCAAGCTTTGGTTTTTGAGCAAGAAAGTGATGCAGGGAGGTCTCTGATTTGGAAGGGATTGAGATATTTTCATCTCATGATCTGAAAATAATAGTCTTTTTATTTATTTATTCATTTTTGAGACAGGGTCTCACTCTGTCACCCATGCTGGAGTACAATGGTGTGATCTCAGCTCACTGCAACCTCCACCTCCTGGGTTCAAGCAGTTCTCCTGTCTCAGCCTCCTAAGTAGCTGGGATTACACGCATCCACCACCAGGCCCGGCTGATTTTTGTATTTTTGGTAGAGATGGGGTTTTACCGTGTTGGCCAGGCTGGTCTCAAACTCCTGGGCTCAAGTGATTTGCCTGCCTCAGCCTCCCCAAGTGCAAGGATTATGGGAATGAGCCACAGCCTCTGGCTAAGAACAATCTTTAAACTGATCTAGAATGTCAGGCTGCTCAGGAGAGTAGCGGTTTCTCAACTTTCGGCTTTTCTAACTTCTACTGTTTTCAAATGACCTTGTACTGAGGACCTGGGTCAGCGACCGAGATAGTAGTGGTTCTGGGTGTAGCAAGTCGGGAGACCCCAGCCCATCCGGCCTTCCCCCCCAGCCTGCCACCTCCCAGGGCACTGGAGGACACCGGCCACAACCGGCTTCTCTGCTTCCAGATGACTCCTGAGGACTATGAAAAGCTTGGCTTTCCCGGGGCCCGGGACCTGGCCAACATGTTCCGTTTCTATGCCCTGAGACCCGACCATGACATCGAGCTGACCCTGAGACTCAACCCCAAGGCCCTGACGCTGGACCAGTGGCTGGAACAGCACAAAGGGGACTTCGCCCTGCTGTGACCTGCCCATCTTGCAGCCCCTTGTGGGCGTTGGGGACACCAGAGGGGCAGAGGCACCGACATCTGAATAAAGCCATTGTTCTCCGAGATGGCTTCCAGGATTTGGCTTGGGGTGATAGCTGGGTACCAACACAGCAGTAAGAGGGGGTCCAGGGCTGAAGGGATCACTTGGTGACTGGGACGAGTGACCTACACGTGTGTTTACTCAAACAGGTGTGAAGTGGCCCGTTCTGACCTCAGCTAGCAGAGCAGCTCTGACCAGCAGCCTCTGTTCCCATCACATTTGAAATTCATTTACAGACGGGGACATAGCACAGGACACAGAGGAGCCCCAGGAGCCAAGCTTCCGACACACCCCTTTTCATCTCCAGAGTCAGTAAGGCCATCTGCACATGTGAGCTGGGGACAGGCTCTGCGGAGGGGCGGGGGAGGAAGGGGCTTCTCCCTTTCCTCCTCATCCTTGTCCTGGGAGGAGCCAGCCTTGGGGTGCTGTCCAGGACACAGGCGACCTTCAAACAGGTTGGAAAAAGGAAAATCGGATGTGGCAGAGCCGTGGCCCACCATGCACAGTGATTGGACACTGCTGGGAAAAGGTGATGCTGCCTGCAGCAAAGGCTGGGAAGCAAAACTGAAGGAGAAACAACCCACCTTGCTTGCTGGGGTGGGTCACAGAGAAGAGGGACAGAGGTCGAGAGACCAGTCGTTTGCCTGAGAGTTTGTGGTCCATGGCAGTTCTGTGATTTTTTTTTTTTTTTTTTTTGAGAGCTCTGTCACAGGCTGGAGCACAGTGGTGCGATCTCAGCTCACTGCAACCTCCGCCTCCTGGGTTCAAGGGATTCTCCTGCCTCAGCCTCCCAAGTAGCTGGGATTACAGGCACCCGCCACCACGCCCAGCTAATTTTTGTATTTTTAGTAGACACGAGGTTTCACCGTATTGTCCAGGATGGTCTCGATCTCTTGACCTCGTGATCTGCCCGCCTCGGCCTGCCAAAGTGCTGGGATTACAGGCATGAGCCACTGCGCCCAGACAATTATTATTATTTTTTTTAAGAGACAAGGTCTCGCTCTGTTGCCCAGGCTGGAGTGCAGTGGCGCAGTCATAGGTCGCTGCAGCCTTCACCTCCGAAGCTTAAGTGGTCCTTCCACCTCAACCTCCTGAGTAGCTGGGATTACAGTACAGGTATCAACCACCAAGCCCAGCAGTTCTGTGAATTTCAACACGTTTGGATTTGTGTGACTACCATCATGATTTTTATTTTTTTACTTCCCTACCCTGGCTCTGGTACTCCAGGCACAAAAGTTCATTCTATCCACTGACTGAGGCATTTCTTTGACAATTTACCAGTATGCTGGGCCCTAAATACAATGTAGCAAAAAAAGGTATGCTCCCTACCTTGAGGAGCTTCTGTTTAGTGGGAGAGCCTGATAGAAACGCACAATAAATAGTTATGAATCCATGCCTGTAATCCTGGCACTTTGGGAGGCCGAGGTGGAGGAACGTTTTAGTTCAGGAGTTTGAGACGAGCCTGGGTAACATAGCAAGACCCCATCTCTACTAAAAAAAAAGAAATACAGGCCGGGCGCAGTGGCTCACACCTGTAATCCCAGCACTTTGGGAGGCAGAGGCAGGTGGATCACGAGGCCAGGAGATCAAGACCATCCTGGCTAACACGGTGAAACCCCATCTCAGGCATGGTGGCGGGCGCCTGTAGTCCCAGCTACTCGGGATGCTGAGGCAGGAGAATTGCATGAACCCAGGAGGCGGAGGTTGCAGTGAGCCCAGATGGCCTGGGCGACAGAGCGAGACTCCGTTTCAAAAAAAAAAAAAAGAAATACAAACAAAACTAGGGCCAGGCGTGGTGGCTCATGCCTGTAATCCCAGCACTTTGGGAGGCCAAGGCAGGTGGATCACTTGAGGTCAGGAGTTCAAAACCAACTTGGTCAACGTGGAGAAACCCTGTCTCTACCAAAAAATACAAAAATTAGCTGGGCGTGGTGGCATGTGCCAGTAGTCTCAGCTACTCGGGAGGCTGAGGCAGGAGAATCAGTTGAACCCAGGAGGTGGAGGTTGTGGTGAGCTGAGACTACCACTGCACTCTATCCAGCCTGGGCGACAGAGGCAGACTCTATCTCAAAAACAAAAAACATAGAAGAAATGGTGGCAGGCATGGTGGCATGTGCCTGTACTCTTAGCTACTCAGGAAGCTGTGGTGGGAGGATCACTTGAGCCCAGGAGGTCAAGGCTGTGGTGAGCTGTGATTGCACCACCGCACGCCAGCCAGGGCAACAGAGTGAAAACCTGTCTCAAAAAAATAAAACCCAAAAAACAAATTGACATAAGGGCTGCAAAAAACAAAACAGCAAGGATAAATAACAAATGGGGACAGGAGCAGCATTGGGGAAGGTGACCAGTAAGCTAAAGTCTGTGGATCATGCCCTTGGCCACATGACTGTGGACCCAGTTCACCTTTTACGTTCCCACCTGGCCCATCTGTGACCCCCTTCAAGGGTCATGACAAATCAGCAGAACTTCTGGTTAAAAGACGTGCACAGTACTTATCAACAAGCAAGAGTGGGAAACAAGCCTCTTGTAGGAGCTGTGCAGCTGCCGTCCTCCACATCAGAGCCGGCTCTGCAGTGCTACGAACACAGAGGGGCAGGGGCAGCTGGAGAGGACTCCTGCAGACAGAGAGGGGTTTGGTTGACAGGAAAGGAAACAAAGGCCAGTCCACCAGAACCCAAAGGACTATGAGTGAGGAGGAGGCTCAGGTTGGAAACAACCCAAGCCCAGGCCTGAGGTGGGGACAGGGCTGAGGACCAATCCCTGAGAGCTGGCCTTGTCCACCCTCCTAATGTTTTGTTTTGTTTTGTTTTTGAGATGGAGTCTCGCTCTGCCACCCAGGCTGGAATCCTGTGGCGTGATCTCGGCTCACTGCAACCTCTGCCTTCCAGGTTCAAGGGGATCTCCTGCTTCAGCCTCCCGAGTAGCTGGGATTACAGGCACATACCACTACACCTGGTTAATTTTTGTATTTTTAGTAGAGATGGGGTTTCACCATGTTGGCCAGGCTGGTCTCGAACTCGTGACCTCATGATTCGCCCATCTTGGCCTCCCAAAGTGCTGGGATTACAGGCGTGAGCCACCATGCCTGGCCCACTCTCCTAATTTTTAAGCAAGTGCCAAACATGCACCTCCCACAGACTCACGGGCCTAGAGATACTTTATTTTCTTCAGACAGGGTCTGGCTGTGTCACCTCGGCTGGAGTGCAGTTGCATGATCACAGCTCACTGCAGCCTTGAACTCCCCAGCTCAAGGAATCCTGCCACCTGAAGCTTTCCGAGGAGCTGAGACTACAGGTGCAAGCCTAAGTTTTTAAAATTTTTTGTAGAGATGGGGTCTCACTATCTTGCTCCTGAGCTCATGCAATCCTCCCTCCTTGGCCTCCTAAAGTGTTGGTATTACAGGCATGAGCCACCATGCCTGGCCCTTTTCTTGCATTTTTAAATACATGCCCCTACTCCGAAGCTATAAAGTCTGGTAACACATACATCAGGAGCACAAGTGGAAATAAACCAAACCCAGGCCTGGAAAGGAATTTTACAGCTGTTGCACGGCCACCTTTTTTTTTTTTTTTTTTGAGATGTAGTCTCGTGCTGTTGCCTAGGCTAGAGTGCAATGGCATGATCTCCACTCATTGCAACCTCCACCTCCTGAGTTCAAGCGATTCTCCTGTCTCAGCCTCCTGAGTAGCTGGGATTACAGGCGTGCACCACCACGCCTGGCTAATTTTTTTGTATTTTTGTAGAGACGGGGTTTCACCATGTTGGCCAGACTGGTCTTGAACTCCTGACCTCAACTGATCCACCCGCCTCGGCCTCCCAAAGTGCTGGGATTATAGGCGTGAGCCACCGGACCCAGCCATGTACAGCCACCTTCTAATCCCTTGAGGGAAGGATGCTTCAACACAACAACGGTTTCTGTTTAGCAAGAGAATCTGCCTTTCTCTTCCAAAGTCTTCCTCTAGACTTCTGCTTTGAAGCAATAGGACATGAATGAGACTCAGAGCGACTGGACCAGGAATAAGCCCAAGCTTTCACAAGAGACACAGTCTAGCTCCCCACTGCTGCGTCCCCAGGAGTTAGAATAGTGCCTGGTCCATACTGAGTGTCCACAGTAGTCAGGCAATCAATATTTCATTGATGAAAATACTGGGAAGTATCTGAGATGAGCAGAATGTCACTGCTGAGCCTCTCCTATCCGTCAGCTCTTTCTCCACCTGACCCAGCGAATGGACTCACATCTCACCCTGCTCAGCCCGGAGCACCAGGGTGGACTGAGCTGTGTATCAGGGCCCCTTCAGCCATGTCAGGCATAGAGCTCGGCTGGGAACCCAAAAGTAGCCAAACTATAATATATAAAAATTTTGGCCAGGCATGGTGGCTCACACCTGTAATCTCAGCACTTTGGGAGGCCAAGGCAGGTGGATCACCTGAGGTCAGGAGTTCAAGACCAGCCTGGCCAAGACTGTGAAATCCCCATCTGTACTAAAAATACAAAAATTAGCCAGGCGTGGTGGCATGCACCTGTAGTCCCAGCTACTCAGAAGACTGAGACAGGAGAATCACTTGAACCCAGGAAGCAGAGGTTGCACTGAGCAGAGATGATACCACTTCACTCCGGTATGGGCGACAGAGTGAGACTCTATGTCAAAAAAATAAAATAAAATTGAATGTAAAAGATGCAAAGACTCTGAAAAGAATGTAGAGAAACAATCCAGTGAGGGTGACTGAAATGCGGGACCCAGGGACACTGCCCAGCTCTCACAGCATGGGCTCCCAAGGAAAAAGTCACATCCAGATTCTAGAACATTCACTCACATGGGACTGTTGTGTCATGGCCAGCACCCTGCTCTGGAATCTGACTGAGGGTCAGCACTGTCGGCACCCCAGACCTGTCTGCCTCTATGTACTCTGGGTGGGCGTGAGCACAGGATGAGGCCAGCCAAGTCTCCAGTAACTCCCATAAGCTACCTGCAGAGGCTGTCTGAATTCTTTCAAAGAAGAAATGACCACAATTTAGGTTTTAAA